TGCAGCTGGAGCAGTAAAGATTCTTCAGCCACGCATCAGAACTAAACTTGTACAAGCATCAAAAATGAAGCAGCACGCGTGTTTTTGCTGCTCCTGCTGCGTGCGGTCTGAACGTAGCATAATGCTACGTTCAGACTGCACGCAGCAGAGGCGGCAGAAGCAGCTAGTTTACGTGCAAAGTCAATAGTTAACGCGCATCCAGGCAAATTTCTTTGAATCTGGATGAACTGACTGCACAGATGAAGTTTTAAGGTGGACTTTCTCACTTAAAAACATTAAAAAGACTTTTTACCAACGAAGAAAGAAAGGATAGAGTAGCTCCGCCCATCGCGCATCAGACCCACTAGAGCAGCAAAGACGCTTCAGCGCCGCATCAGAACTAAACTTGCACAAGCATCAAAGATGAAGCAGCGCGCGTTTTTTGTTGCTTTTGCTGCTTGCGATGTGAACGTAGCCTAAGTTTTACTCACTAGGGGTACTGCCCCCTATGTTTTTGGAGAGTACTGCACCTACAGCAGGTATTAACTCCATTCTTCTCATATATTCTTCAATATATTTTAGATCAAGCTGCTTCTTGGGTCAAAGTTAATAAATATTGCTTTAATAATTTAATCCTGATTTAAATGACGGCTGTTATCATTTGCATGTTGTCTATTGTGTGGAGTTTGCCCTGCACGGTTGTCGGTTCAAGCCCTGGCTCTGGCTTTCAGTGTTGTGTCCTTAGGCAAGACACTTCACCTGCTTTCCCTACTGATAGAGGTCAGAGGGCGCGGTGGCGCCTGTGTACAGCTGACATCACCAAAGCTCTATATAACTACAGGCCAATTATTAATCATACTGAGGAAAATGAAGAAACAAATCTATGTTTATGTTCATTTTGTCCCTTTTCCTGCACCATATTTTTCCCCAAAGAGGTGAAAGCGGTTTTCCAGAGTGAGAGGATCAAAGCGCAGGTGAAGGTACAGGTTGTCGAGGCAAGGTGCATGCTGGGAGTGCTGGGGTGCCATCTCTGTATGTCCACAGGACCTTCTGTCAGAAAGTGTTTGAAAGTTTCAAATGAGTCAAATTTAAAGGATTGTTTGACGTTGAAGCTGCTGATTGGTCAGGAGGACGAGCTGCAGCTGATCGCTAACGGTGACCAGTTCTGTGGACATACGAGTAACTGGGGGGCGGGGGGGTCAGGGAAAGTTCAGTACCTGCTTCCTTTTAAAAGATGAACTCTTAGACTGCAGACAGAAAGAAGGACAGACAGACAGACAGACAGACAGGCGAGGGATGGAAACATCAGGACAGAACTGACAGGATAACAAACATCAGCAGCTCTGATCAAAACCCACAGCAGAGAGAAATGGAGGCGGAGCAGCAGAAGAAGAAGAAACTGAAGCTCTGATGCTGCAGATTCCGACTGAATCAGGAAACGCAGAGAAGCGAGAAGCGGCCATCTTTCTTCAAAATCTGCCTGAATCAACCAGCTGTCCTAATTAGCCGCCCTTCTCCATCATGTTCAGCCCACAGCATGATGCTGCCCTACCATGCTGAACAGTTGGTGCTGTAGCTTCAGTATTAGAGCCTCGTCAGATCATTTGTATCTCCTTAAATGTCTATTTGTTCTAGATCTAGAGGATAGAACCAATAGTAGTCAGAGTAGGAGGTTCTAACACCACTGAGGAGCCATCAAGGCTAAAACTAAAAGGCTTCCTGCTACAATGCTACACAGATTGGGCACCATCAGGCATGGTAGTGGCAGCACCATGCTGAGGGGCTGAGTCACAGCTAATGGTTCTGGTGGTCCGTAGACTCAGTGAGGTGATGCAACAGAACCAGAACCTGTCAAGCTTCTGGAGCCGACCTTAAAGGAAAAGTCCGATCGGCTTCAGAATTCAAACTTCTGAAAGTTCTTTAAATCTGAAATGATTCCATCCTGTTCAATAAATGATCAGTGTTTTTAATTCAGAGTAATTTTCATGTGAATGTGCTTTACTGGAGGCATCCATGTTTGTCAAAGAACACTACTGCCACCTACTGGTTAGTGACATTGTCACGGTGCGGTATCGGCTGTTGATCAAGTCCCAGTGCTGTATCTGGTGTTTGTCACAACGCGCTATTATCCAAGTCATCTTGAAAACATTCTTCTTCCAAATGTTGGCTACATATTACGGGTTTTTTCTCTGGCCAGAAGTTCGATGGCAAATCCTCCCTCTTCAAGTTGGCGATCCAACGACCAACCCGTCCGTGGAGGATCAGGAATCAGAAAGGTGGAATAACTCTTTTTTTCACTTTTACCCGATGTATTCCAGCATCCAGCTGCCATGCACGTGGGCATTGTCAGTTTCACTATAGCTCTGGTGAATTTCAATGGTGAAGTCCTCTGGAAATCTTCAATAATTGTTGTTGATTGCAGATGTGTCTAGTAGTTCCCATTGATTTAGCTTGGAAAGCGGGGAGAATGGCGCTAGGCTTACCGCACCGTGACGTCACTGCTGGAAGATGGCAGGAGGGAGGGGCTACTATATTTGGGCAAAAATGTCCGCAACGAAAAGGGGACTGTTTTTATTTTTTTACCGATTAACGCATAATTAGTTAAATTACTGCGAACGTATAAGTTTTAGGTATAATTAATGATCGATTGATTATTCCTTTCTGACCAGACTTTTCCTTTAAACCATCTGACCCAGTGCGTTTAGCTCAGGTTCTGTTCGGATGTTTGGGCCACATGCAGGTCAGAGGACATTTTAAACAATTAGATGTCTTATGAAACAATTAATGTACATAGAAATGATGAATCAAAAAATTAAATGTAATAAACTAAAACTAAACTAAAATAAATGTAAAATCAAAGATCAAAATGTTAGATTTTTTTTAAAATATCTATTCAAAAATAATATAATTACTCCACTTTATAAATAAATATAATGCGATTTATTTTTAGAGGGTCTCCAGTCTGTTTCATTGTTATTTTTAGGGTCAAAGGCTGAAACTTATGGAAAGCTGTTTCATTCATAATCAAATAAAAAAAAAATGTTTTTAATCAATTATTATTACATATGAATAAAGGCATTCTGTTTTGTTCAGAGCTTCAACTCAAATAGCAGAACTTTAACCTGACTGGGTTCCTGTTTGACCCCAGCTCTACAACCGCAACGGTCTGCTTGAAGTTTGGGGACAAAAAAATGGACGTAACAAAACTTTACAGAATGGTTTAAGGTTGATATGCTAACAGGGATTTATGGAAGCTAAAGCGTAGCTGGATTTAGCATGACGGCTAACTGCTAAGCTAGTGACCAGAAGTGATCTGTTGGTGACTAAATGCTAAATGAAATCAGTAAAATGAAAATGTGTCTATCTTAGCTTCGTGTAACATGGTAGCGGAAGCTAATTGGGACATGCTAACTAGCATCTCGTTGGAATCTTCAGTCCCTTCACAGACCTCTAAAGCAGAGCTGCTGTAGCTACCGGATCTGCTTCACGCCAGTGACGTTACGCTACGTGATTGGCTGAACTTTGCCACGTGATGTAAAACATTTCGGCTGCCCTGACAACGATAATAACATGCCGAGTCAGGAGCATCTGTAGCGTTAGCGTGTCTAATGACCGATGAAGTTCTACCTGATTGATAACAAGACTGAAAAAAAAATCTGTTTCTGGTGAAAAAAGTAACTGTTAGACCGTGATATAAAGGGGGGGAGCTGGGTAGCACTGTGGCTAACAGGTTAGCCTCTTTTAGCTCGCTCAGTTAGCCATATTAAGCTACACTACTTTTAAATTCATGTCAACAACAACCGTTTGTTTTCTACAAGTGGAATAAGTGTTTTATTTGTCTAAAATCTCTACGAAAGTCATTTTTTAAGATGTTCCATTTGTCCTTCCTGTCTCTAGATCTTAATAAAAATAAGCTGAGACTTTTTTGTCACCTTGTTAAATGAGGGAGCTCAGTCTGTCTTGGAAGGCAGGACTTTCCTTCAAGACTGACAATGATTGTTTTCTACTTTCGGCTACTTTAAATCGCCAATGAAATGTAAAATAAAAGCAAATATAGATAATATGTTGAGACTCCAAAAAAAGATTTGATCCTTAAGAAACGGGTGTAATACATTTTGTCCGAGTGGAGTTGCCATATAATGACGTCATAAGAAGGGGCGGGGCCCCGAGCCGATCTGGTACCTACACCGCCTCCACTTCATTCAAAACACCTTTATGAATATTATTATTATTTCCATTATAAATATGGAAATCTCAAAATAAAAAAATATAAAACAAAATAAAACAAATTTTGAAATAAAAACATTTTGATTGAAATAAATCCTAAAATAAATCACATATGAAATAATTAACACAAAAGATTTTAAATTAAATACTTACATCTTAATGAATAAATATATGCTGAAATTAAAACTTTTTGAAATGGATAAACCTTCATATATTTTCTACATAAATAAAACGTAAATAAAGTAATTAATAAATGTCAAAATAAATACATGAAAAACAAAGATAAAAATAATAAAGTATTAATTTTATATGAATTTTTTAATGGAATATTTATTAAACAATGTTTTTATAAAAATATTTATTTATTTATTTGACTTTAAAGAAAACTGTTCTCTGACCTGAGTGAAGTTGGCCCCCCCACCTTCTTCAAATCAGACATAATTAGTGTCAAACGTTTGTGCCGCTTTCATTTTTTTACAGTTTAAAATTATATAATTAGAGGTTAGCAACTTTTAATATATATGAAATTCAGAGTTTCTGAATGAACAAATGTTTATTGACCTTTGATGACCTCTACAAACAATTATTAATATCATTTAAATGATAGCAGTAGAAAAAATTTATATATTTTAAAATATGCATTTTTAAATTTTTAATATATTTATTTTAAATATTTTATATTTAAAATTAATTTTAAAATGTTATATTTTTGTATGGCAAAAATTTCCATTTGTAGTGCTATCATTTCAATGCTATTAATAATATTTTGTAGAGGTCATCAAAGGTCTGTTTTAGCTGCACAAACGGAGCCGAGTTAATTGACCCCCATTTCGTCTAATTTAAAGAAGGTGGGGGGGCTGGTTGACCTTTGATGACCTCTAAAAATATTTCTTTATATCTTTAAAATGACAGCGGCACAAACGAATTTTTGCTGCACGAACGTTTGACACTAATTTTGTCTGATTTGAAGAAGGTGGGCGGGGCCAACTTCACTCAGGTGAAGCTCTGATCTACAGCCTCTGTTAGCGTTAGCTTTGCATTTGGTTTGTGTCTCTTAATGTCAGATTTAATCTCTCTGGTGACGCCTGACATCGCTATCGACTCTCCGGGTTCCTGCTGCTCGTACTTACGGGTCCAGCGGCGCCGGCGTCTCTGCTGAAGGAGGTTTTAGGAGGCGGCCGTAGATGAAGATGTGGAGGGAAGGAGGCCACGAACGGGCGTGGCAGATGGTAAAGATGGTGGGAGAAATATGGCTGAGGGATGGGGGGGGGGAGAAAATCAAAATAAAGTTCATGGAGGCGTTTGAACAGAAAATAAAAACTATGACCGGTGAATCTCTGCCGTGTCAGAGCCAAAAACGCCGCTGATTGGCTGTGAGAGTCGCCCTCGCAGGTGATTGGTCGAGGCAGCAGAGATTCGCCGTCAGACACAGGAATTAAAATCAACCAAAATGAGCAAAAAAAGATGATGAACGAAACCAAAGCAGGAGGTCACATGGCGTGATGACATCACCGGGGCGATGGTGGGCGGGGCCTGTCCACTCACCCGGTTGTAGAAGGGATGCTGCGGGCCAGCCATGCCGCTGTAGTAGCTGCTGTGAGGCTGCGGGGAGATGATGCCCCCTGCTGGCGGGTTGAAGGGCCCGCTGAAGGAGGCGGAGGGCGAGCAGGTGGACGACACCTGGCTGTAGACCGAGGTGGGGCGGGGCTGGGCCTCCTGCAGGGGGAGGGCCGGGTAGGTGACCCCGCCCATGTTCATCTGCTCCCGGGCTGCGCGGACATCTGGATCGGAACAAGAACATCTGGACTGAACCACAGCTGAAACATCTGTGGGAGCCAGAAAAGCTAGATCCGGATCCGAAAACATCTGGATCTCAGAACCGTCTGGTTCAAATCGCTCAGGAAATATGATTGTTTTTAAATATTAGAAACATCTGAAGGAAACAAAGAAAAGAGCCAGAGGAACATCTGGATCAAAGACTTCACAGAAGGACAACATCTGGATGGGAGGAGATAAACAGAAGCATCTGAGCAGGTTCTGGCAGCGGGTCTGACCTGCGATGATCTCTCGGAGCTTCGGGTCCAGGTTGACGGTGCAGGGCAGGAAGGTCCGGATGTCTCTGGCGGTCAGGACCGGCGTCCGTGACGACAGGAAGACCTCGAAGCTCCGGATGTCTCCGTCGATCTCCAGCAGCGGCTCCACGTCCTTCGTGGTTGGGATGTTCTTGGACACTCTGAGGAAACAAAGCACAGCAGCTGCTGACCCGCTGGGTTTGGACCGGGCCGGAGGCAGCAGCCTAAGGGCCGGATGACCTCTGACCTCTCGTAGATGCTCTTGAGCGTGGCCTGGTCGGGGACTCCATCTGTCTCCTCCAGGTACAGGATGAGCCAGGACGTCCTGTAGGGCCACTGCTCCGTCAGGTTGATCCAGGACGCCAGCCGGTCCCAGTTGAAGCTGATCTGATTGGCTCTCAGGAGGCGGCCTGGAGAGAGGCGGGATCGAACGTTAGCGGGGACACGCGGGCGCACCGGGCGAGAAGGACGTGGCTCACCTGTGACAGAGACGATGTTCAGCAGCCGCCTCATGGTCTGCGGGCTGATGTCGTTGAACCAGTCCTCCGTCACCATCAGCTTCGTCAGGTCGAAGGACATCTGACGGGTCACCGAGCGCTGCACCTGCCGCCGCCGGTACGTATCCTACGGCAACCAAAGACAAGTCATGTGACCGCAGAGGACCAGAGAACATCCTGCCAATGATCCGCTGTCCTGCCAGCATACCTACAGTCAATACGCATGCAGAAGATGTCAGATTTGCATTTATCCCTTTAGTTTTTACAGACTTTAAACTACCTTAACAGGCGTGTTTACCTTTAGTCATCTACATGGATAAACAGTTATTGACTATGGGTATGCTGGTCTGACCGGGTATGATAGAACACCGGCCTGAAAGGGTCCGACTCACCCGGCGGTTCAGCGCCGTCTTGCTGCCGAACTTGGTTAATTCTCCCAGGCTGTGCTGAGACAACTTCCTGTCCAGCTCCTCGTGCCAACCCACTGAAAACAAACACAGGTCTGCAAAGTTCAGCTTTAACCCTGTAATGCCTAATGTATCACATTTGATACATACGGTTTCTAAAATGTTTTGCGTCTGACACCTTTTGCATAATTTAATGGTAAAAACTTTGCTCCAAATCCTATTGTTCACAATCAGATATACCTGATAACAGCCAGTAGAAGACTACACAAAAAATAATCTTGACTTATAGTAATAAATTATAAATAT